GTACTCCAGCTCAGACTCTCTGTCCTCTAGGACGTCACAGCCAAGGGCAAACCCACCCCCGACGGACAGAGGACAGGAGGGAGGAGCTGGCACCACACGGGTGGTGTAGTCAAGGCGACTGGCGGCAGCAAACTCAGCGACAGCGGCAGTGAGAGCCGAGACAGACGACGGAGGGAAACGAGAGTCGGTGACAAGAGTGGCGAGGACACGAGAGAAAACAGGACGAACAGCGCGGTAGTAGTCAGTGACAGGAGTAGGGGGGAAAGGGAGAGAGGAGGGAGGTGGACACGGGAGAACGGACTCAGGAGGAGGACGACGAAGAGACGAACAAAGGAGGGCAGTGCGGAGGTCGGTAACGGGAGACGAGTGACGAGCACGCGGAGGACAGGGACGGACACGAGAGTGCCGGACACCAGGTGGAGGAGACTGCGGTGGAGGAGAAGACCAGACCGCCGGACGGGCGTCAGGAGGAGGAAACGTGGGACCAAACGCTGGAGGGGACGGAGTGTGAACAGGAGGAGAGGAGGGAAGACCAAGGGCCCGAAGGCCACTCACGGGTGGGAACAACTGCCGCTCCAGAGGGAGCTGCTGTGGTCGCAGCTGCGGCGGCGGTGTCTGCTGCTGCTGCGGCTGCTGCTGCTGCCGCTGCTGCTGCTGCTGCTGCTGCTGCTGCTGCTGCTGCTGCTGCTGCTGCTGCTGCTGCTGCTGCTGCTGCTGCTGCTGCTGCTGCTCCAGTAGGTCCAACTGCCGCAACTCCTGCCGCTCCCTCTCCAACAGCACCTGCTCCTCACGCTCACGCCGACGGGCCGCTTGGAGACGTGTGTCGTGGCGGTGGGGAGGCAAAGTGGACTCCGCAGAACCAGTGTCTCCTGCTCCAGTCTCCTCAGAACCAGCACCTCCAGTGCCAGCGCCTCCAGCACCAGCACCCCCAGAACCAGCACCTCCTGTGCCAGCACCTCCAGCTCCAGCACCCCCAGAACTAGTACCGCCAGTGCCAGGACCTCCAACTCCAGCACCCCCAGAACTAGCACCTCCAGTGCCAGCACCTCCAGCTCCAGCACCCCCAGAGCTAGCGCCACCTGCGCCAGCACCTCCAGCTCCAGCACCCCCAGGACTAGCACCTCCAGTGCCAGGACCTCCAGCTCCAGCACCTCCAGAGCTAGCGCCACCTGCGCCAGCACCTCCAACTCCAGCACCCCTCAAACGAGCACCCCCGGACCGAGTACCGCCAGTGGCTGCACCTCCTGCTCCAAAACCAACCGAGTCCACAGTAGCCTGTCGCGGAAGTACCGAAGGCTGCTGAGGGGACTGTGAGGAGGAATGCGGGGAGGGAGCCGCTACCTGACGCGCGACCGAGGGTAGAGGGGTAGCGTGAGACACACCTGACGGGGCAGGACCGGGGGGGGTGGGGGTACCGGAGGAGCGGGAGCAGGGGGAAGAGAGGGTGCGAGGAAAAGGGGGGGAAGGGGAACCGGGAGACCTCGACAGGGGTACCTGGTGTAGTAGGACACTGACTCGTCGAACCGGACGTCACGGGAGTCTAGGAACTGGTGGAGGGGCGGGTGGTAAAAGGACCAGTCGGCCGAGGCTACCGGGAAACCAAGGAAGACACAGGGGACGGCGCGAGCCGAGAGCTTGTCCGCAGAGGTGTCGCGGACAAGCGCAAGGCAGCCCCAGACTCGAAAAGCTGACCCAGCACCAGGGGACCCGGTCCAAAGACTGGTCGGTGAAGCCTCTGGCCGCGAGACGCGCGGCTGGAGGTTCAGCTGGTGAGCGGCGTAGCGAACCGCGTAGGGCCACAGAAAATGGGGCGCACGGGCATGAATCATGGACGTGCGGGCGATGTCCATGACCAAGCCAATGCGGCGCTCAGCAACCCCATTCTGCTGTGGGGACTCCGGCAGCGTCCAGGACTGTACAATGCCCTGCTCGCCGCAGAATCCGGCAAGAATGCCTAAGCGAAACTCACCCCCACGGTCAGAGTGGAGACAGGAGACACGACGGCCACGAGTGCCCTCAGTGGCTAGAAGCCACCGGATCAGCGTAGAAGTCACCTCGGACTTCTTCGCGAGAGGAAACACCGTGGTGTACCTGGAGAAGTCGTCGACGACCACCAAAAAGTAGCGCTCCCTCTCAGGTCCCTGCGTAGGTGCAGGGCCCCAGACATCCAAGTGGAGTGTCTGGAAGGGAGCAGTGGCCGGACGAAGGGAGGAGGAGTGCGGAGTGGCACGAAGACGGCCGGCGACGCAAGGAGTGCACGGCGGCGCAGGCGAGGGAGGGAGCGACGGGAAGACGCGAGGGAGACCTGAGACAAGACGGTGACTAGCCATAGCGCGGAGGCGGGGGATCGACGCGTGGCCAAGACGGTGGTGCCACAAGACGGTCCGGTGGGTGAAAGACCGGCACGAGCAAGACGCAGCAACTAGACCGGACACAGCAACCTGACCGGACACAGCAACCGGTGGGGACGCAGTAACCTGACCGGACTCTGCTACCGGAGGGGACGAAGCAACCAGACCAGACGCAGCTACCTGCGGGGGTGGAGTGTGCAGGACGAAGAGACCTGAGTGGGGCTCCCCGGTGGAAGAGTCCGTACAGATCGCAGTCCTCCCGTGCGCAGGAAAAGTGACTGTGATCCCCCGGTCCTGAAGATATCCAACACCCACCAAGTTCCGAGAGAACGAGGGGATGTAGAGACCAGTGAGGAAACCAGAGGGGACAGCTGGGCACGGGAGAGTGGTCGAGCAACGAGCAACTGCTGGTCCTGAAGTAGGATCAGCCAGGGCAACTGGGACTGGAGCCGAAAGAGGTGTGACAGTGGTGTGGTCGCGAAAGAAGCACTGGGACGCGCCGGAGTTCAGCGTGAAGGAGAGCGACGCAACAGCAGTCGTCACGGCTGGGCTAGTGACTACACAAGCACCTACACTAAAAGCACAAGTACCTACACTAGCAACAGGCAAAGGTCCTAAGCTAGGTACACGCAAGCCAAGAGATCCGTACGTGACAGAATAAACAGCATCCATAGACATATCAAACACAGGGTAACCACTACGAAACAAACCGGGCCAGATCGGGGGAGCCGACTCAGGCCCAAAACGCTCATGGTATAGGTCGTCGAGGCGACTGTAGCAGCGCGGTGCAGAGTGGTCAGGACGCCAGCAGGTAGTGCCAGCACCAGGGCCGGTCAGGATCCGGTACTGGCAGGGGCCGACGTCGCGGCCACCGCGACGAGCCCCCAAGCCGGCTGGGCCGCTGCTGCAGCCAACGCTACCCGAACCGCCAGGCCGCCACGGCTGCTGAGGGCGCCACAACTGCTGAGGGCAGAGCTGCTGCTGAGGGCGCCACTGCTGCTGCGGGTGCCACTGCTGAAACTGCCGCTGCTGCTGTCCCTGCTGCTGGAGAACCCTAGTGGACGCCATGATAAAGGCTAGGAGCGGCAAGAGCTAGGGACGGCCACGAGAACAACTAGGAGCGCGAGGTGAAACTAGGCGAGGAACGGCTGGAGCACGGAGCACACTGAGCTAGGAGCGCCAGGTGAAACTAGGCGAGGAACGACCGGTGCTGGAACGGCTGGAGCTGAAACGGCTAGAGCTAGAACGGCTGGAGCGAGAACGGCTGGAGCGAGAACGGCTGGAGCTAGGCACGGCTGGAGCTAGGAGTGGCTGGAGCTAGAACGGCTGGAGTGAGAACGGCTGGAGCTAGAGACTGTAAGTGCGGCTGTCGGCTGCCGCTAGTGGAGCCAGTGGCAGTGGAAAGTACGTGCGACAAAGGGGCTGCAGTACTGACGGCTGCGGGAGGTAGGGAACTGTGCAGGTCGTCCGGCAAGCAGGAACGCGGGCGACAGTTGCAGCCCCCCACCTTGAACCCCTTTTTTTTTTTTTTTTTTAGGGTTTAATTAATTGATTTTATTTTCTGGCGCTAAAGCGCTGCGGGGCGCGCTGCCTGCAGGGTGTGCTGCCTGCAGGGCGCGCTACCCGCGGGGCGCGCTGCCTGCGGAGCGCGCTACCCGCGGGGCGCGCTACCCGCGCGGCGCGCTGCCTGCGGGGCGCGCTACCCGCGGGGCGCGCTCCCTGCGGGGCACGATTTCTGCGGGGGGCGCGCTACCTGCGGGGCGGGGCGACGCGGCGGGCTAGGGGCAGGGCGCTCGGGCGCGCACGGGCTAGGGGCAGTGCGCACAGGCGACGTTACGGGCTGGGGCAGGGCGCATGGGCGACGTGACGGGCTGGGGCAGGGCACACGGGCTACGCGACGGGCTAGGGCAGGGCGCACGGGCTACGCGACGGGTTAGGGCAGGGCGCATGGGCGACGCGACGGGCTGGGGCAGGGGCCACGGGTTACGCGACGGGCTGGGGCGGAGGCGCGATACGGAGGGCGTGGAGGGCGCGTAGGGGAGGGCTAGGCGCGGAGGCGCGGATGGCGCGTTACGGAGGGCGCGGAGGGCGCGTTACGGAGGGCGCGGATGGCGCGGAGGGCGCGGAGGCCGCGTTACTCGAGGCTAGGGCGCGGAGGGCGCGGAGGCCGCGTTACTCGAGGCTAGGGCGCGGAGGGCGCTAGGGCGCGTGGAGGAGGGCGCGTAAGGCGCGGAGGCGCTCTAGAGCGCGGAGGGTGCGAGGGCACGTGACGGAGGGCGCGTAAGGCGCGGAGACGCTCTAGGGCGTGGAGGGCGCGAGGTAGGCTACGCTAGGCAAGGATTCTAAACCTACTCGTGATACCATCTCAGAAAGTGAATGCAACGGAATGTTTGACTTAGGAGAGCAAGGCATACAAATAGAAACCCTAAGAGTGTTGTACTCCTTAGAGTGCTACTCACTGCAGCCTACAACCAATAACAACATTTGACAATTTGTACCAAGGCTCTTGCCTGAGGGAATCATTACTAAAAAATCTTCCCTCAGACAGGTGAAGTGAAGCCAAAAGCTAGTCTACAAAACAAAAGACCTAGGGCCGAAGAGTGCCTCTTACAAAGGCAGGACAGCACCGGGCGGAGCGAAATGAAGGAATCACGAAGGCTTTGCCTTGCGGTAGGCGGGCTTGCCCTTAAAGAGCGCCACCAGGTCATCAAAGCCCTACAGGGGAATGGCAGCGAAGGGAGGGTGCAGGCATGGGAAGGGAATGAGATTCCATTCCACGAGTTGAGATTAGAACAATGTTTGACTTGTGCTGTGCGAGGAGTGTGCGGCGCACTGCGCATGTGAGACTGGCTGGGATGACACACGAGCAAACCTTGGTGGCTGTATGGAGGATGACGAAGAGGGAGGAGAGGTAGATGGCCACTGCAAGGAACGTGACTAAATCGAAGGTGATGCTGGCCACCTGCACGCACACGTGGATGCACAGGAGTGGGCGAACACAGAGAAGAACAGAGCAACCAGTCAGTGGAGCAGGGAGGAGATGGCATGAAGGCCTAAAAAAACTTTCTTCAAGGTCGGTGACTAGGACACAAGCACAACACATGGTGCATGGTGGATGCACGGTAGGTGCAGACATGATGGATTAGCTCCTAGTTTGATACAAGAAGCAGACGTAGCATGCTACCACGGCCCGCCCCACCCCACCTGGTAGACGTGCATCTGGGCGTGCGGCGTGGAGTAGACTGTGTAGTGCGGGTCCAAAGCTGCTTTTGAGACGCCTCAAAAGACAACTCATGGTGCATGGTGGATGCACGGTAGGTGCAGACATGAGACACAGCATGTTACCACGGCCCACCTGGTAGACGTGCATGTGAGCATGCGGCGTGGAGTAGAGCGTGTAGTGCGGGTCCAACGCTGCTTTCCTCACCTCCACCTTGTCCGCATGCAATGCCATCTCCTGCCAAGCGCACACGTAGACCGTTAAAAATAAGCGAGGGAGCACAAGGAAGGATGCGAAAGAGGTCTCCAAGGGTGAGAGCTGTTGCAGCCGCACGCCATTGGGTGCTGACGTTTACTGCAACGACGAGAATGATCTCACCAAGTGTGGACCCCAATCTCTCAGACAGAGGAGACACTCTTACCGCTTGGATGGCGGCAATTATTGGGTCGTCCTTGGCCAATAGCGGGGCGACACGTGGCGCGCGGGAGAGGAGGGAGAGCCAGTGAGAGAGGTAGGGGAGGCTGGGAGCGAGTGAGGAGTTGGGTGGGAAGAAGGCGATGGGGGAAGCGGCTGCCGCTGCTCCCTCAGACGGGTTGGCACTGGCGGTGCTGGTGCTGGTGCTGTTGAATATGTGGCTCTGGAAAGGAGATATGGAAATGTAGATATACAGACATGAGAAAAGGGGAAGAGGGTGGATGGGGACAAATAGAACCAAGGTGCTAAACGGTTCAGGTTGAGAGGAACAGGTAGAAGCTGGGTGTAGGTACAAGAAGGAATGGGAGAGGGCATGAGAGAGTTGTTCGCCTCTCACCGCAATGGTTTCAGCAATGAGGCGCGTGGCAGCCAGCAACTGGTGCTCGTCCACTGATTCCCTGCAGAGTGACGGCAGCAGCGGTGCAGAGGCGTTCACATACACATGTGCGGAGAGTCGGTGATGAAGGGAAGGCGGAGACGACAGAGAAGTTGGAAAAACCAGTGAGGGATGGAGAAGGTGCCACAAATGAAAAGATTGACAGGCAGGGAGAATAAATTGGGTTGCGAAGTGCTCGCATCCCGTTCGACCTGACTGCACCTTTCCACCTCTTCATGCCTCCTCCCTTCTCACACCTCATCCTCCTCCATCCACTCCTTCCCCTGCTTACCTGGTGTCGGCCAGTCCCCCCAGTGGCGCAGGAAGCGCGGAGCAGAGGGCAGGGCGGAGAGCGAGGCGGCCACGAGCTTGCTCCCATGCTGTTACCTGCCCTTGCATGCCCGTGCCTAGTCCTTCACCCCTTCCCACCCCTTGGTACCTGGTGTCAGCCAGCCCCCCCCAGTGGCGCAGGAAGCGCGGAGCAGAGGGCAGGGCGGAGAGCGAGGCGGCGACGAGCTTGCCTGGGCGATGCCTGACCTTGCCTGCACGTTACCTGCCCTAGCCTGCCCTTGCCTGCCCTTGCCTAGTCCTCCCCGCTCCCCTTCCCCCCCCAAAGTACCTGGTGTCAGCCAGTCCGCCCCAGTGGCGCAGGAAGCGCGGAGCAGAGGGCAGGGCGGAGAGCGAGGCGGCCACGAGCTTGCGGCGCGAGAAGAGCTCGTGCTGCCACGGCACGCGCGCGTCCGAGATGTTCACCTTCTTGTGCACCAGGGCGATGGAGGTTGGGGGGTCCGCGGCTGCTGCAGCGGAGGACAGGCCCTGTGGGGGGGATGAAAGGGGGTGGGGGTGGGTGGTACCAGAAGAGCTCGTGCTGCCACGGGACGCGCGCGTCCGATATGTTCACCTTCTTGTGCACCAGGGCGACAGGGATAGGTGGGTCCACGGCTGCTGCGGCAGAAGACAGGCCCTGCAGGGAGCAGAAAGGGGGGTGGGATTGGAAAAGAGAGGCAGCACGGCACTCGGGCGTCCGAGATGTTCACCTTCTTGTGCACCAGGGCGATGCAGGTGGGTGGGTCAGCGGCTGCTGCGGCAGAGGACAGGCCCTGCATGCGGTGGGGATCACGTGGGGTGAGGGGAGTGGATGGTACGGGAATGAGGGTCAGCACGGCACTCGGGCGTCCGAGATGTTGACCTTCTTGTGCACCAGTGCGACTGAGGTCCGTGGCTCAGCGGCTGCTGCGGCAGAGGAGAGGCCCTGCAGGCGGGGGGGGGGGGGGGGAGGAAAGAAGGGTGGGATTTGGAAAGAGAGGCAGCACGGCACACAGGCATCGGAGATGTTCACTTTCCGACGCGTCCGAGATGTGCACCTGGGCGATGGACGCTGGGGGGTCAGCGGCTGCTCCAGCTGAAGTCAGGCCCTGCGGAGGGAGGCAGGGGAGCGAGGGGAGCGATGGGGGAGTGGATGGTACGGGAAAGAGAGGCAGAACGTAATGAGGGCAGGAGGAGTGGCGGAGGGGGGGCGCAGGGGAAGCATGGAGGAAGGGCAGTGGGTGGGAGGGGAGGTGACGGGGAGCGAGCAGGGCTCCACGATGGGGACTCACGTGGAAGAGTGCACGGATGGTGGGGTCCTTGAGAGGCCGCGACGCATGCACTTTGCGGCGCCTCAAAATACACCTCAATGCTAGGGGACGTGGAGCAAGCGGTGGTGCACCATGGGGACTCACGTGGAAGAGTGCGCGGATGGTGGGGTCCTTGAGAGGCCGCGATGCGTGCAGGTGCAGCCCACTGCCCCCCTCCCCGGCCCCTGGCGCTGCACCAATGGCGCGCAGACAGATGGCGAACTCGAGGCGGTCCTGCACACTCTGGTCCAACGAGGCCAGCCACTGGGGGGAGGGAGCGAGGGGGGGATTGGGGGGTAGGAACTGAGCAGGGCATAGTGGTAGGATGGACCAAGGGCAGACAGATGGCAAACTCGAGGCGGTCCTGCACACTCTGGTCCAGCGAGGCCAGCCACTGGGGGGAGGGAGCGAGGGGGGGATTGGGGGGTACGAACTGAGCAGGGCATAGTGGTAGGATGGACCAAGGGCAGACAGATGGCAAACTCGAGGCGGTCCTGCACACTCTGGTCCAGCGAGGCCAGCCACTGGGGGGAGGGAGCGAGGGGGGGATTGGGGGGTACGAACTGAGCAGGGCATAGTGGTAGGATGGACCAAGGGCAGACAGATGGCAAACTCGAGGCGGTCCTGCACACTCTGGTCCAGCGAGGCCAGCCACTGGGGGGAGGGAGCGAGGGGGGGATTGGGGGGTAGGAACTGAGCAGGGCATAGTGGTAGGATGGACCAAGGGCAGACAGATGGCAAACTCGAGGCGGTCCTGCACACTCTGGTCCAGCGAGGCCAGCCACTGGGGGGAGGGAGCGAGGGGGGGATTGGGGGGTAGGAACTGAGCAGGGCATAGTGGTAGGATGGACCAAGGGCAGACAGATGGCAAACTCGAGGCGGTCCTGCACACTCTGGTCCAGCGAGGCCAGCCACTGGGGGGAGGGAGGGAGGGGGGGATTGGGGGGTAGGAACTGAGCAGGGCATAGTGGTAGGATGGACCAAGGGCAGACAGATGGCAAACTCGAGGCGGTCCTGCACACTCTGGTCCAGCGAGGCCAGCCACTGGGGGGAGGGAGCGAGGGGGGGATTGGGGGGTAGGAACTGAGCAGGGCATAGTGGTAGGATGGACCAAGGGCAGACAGATGGCAAACTCGAGGCGGTCCTGCACACTCTGGTCCAGCGAGGCCAGCCACTGGGGGGAGGGAGCGAGGGGGGGATTGGGGGGTAGGAACTGAGCAGGGCATAGTGGTAGGATGGACTAAGGGCAGACAGATGGCAAACTCGAGGCGGTCCTGCACACTCTGGTCCAGCGAGGCCAGCCACTGGGGGGAGGGAGCGAGGGGGGGATTGGGGGGTACGAACTGAGCAGGGCATAGTGGTAGGATGGACCAAGGGCAGACAGATGGCAAACTCGAGGCGGTCCTGCACACTCTGGTCCAGCGAGGCCAGCCACTGGGGGGAGGGAGCGAGGGGGGGATTGGGGGGTACGAACTGAGCAGGGCATAGTGGTAGGATGGACCAAGGGCAGACAGATGGCAAACTCGAGGCGGTCCTGCACACTCTGGTCCAGCGAGGCCAGCCACTGGGGGGAGGGAGCGAGGGGGGGATTGGGGGGTACGAACTGAGCAGGGCATAGTGGTAGGATGGACCAAGGGCAGACAGATGGCAAACTCGAGGCGGTCCTGCACACTCTGGTCCAGCGAGGCCAGCCACTGGGGGGAGGGAGCGAGGGGGGGATTGGGGGGTACGAACTGAGCAGGGCATAGTGGTAGGATGGACCAAGGGCAGACAGATGGCAAACTCGAGGCGGTCCTGCACACTCTGGTCCAGCGAGGCCAGCCACTGGGGGGAGGGAGCGAGGGGGGGATTGGGGGGTAGGAACTGAGCAGGGCATAGTGGTAGGATGGACCAAGGGCAGACAGATGGCAAACTCGAGGCGGTCCTGCACACTCTGGTCCAGCGAGGCCAGCCACTGGGGGGAGGGAGCGAGGGGGGGATTGGGGGGTACGAACTGAGCAGGGCATAGTGGTAGGATGGACCAAGGGCAGACAGATGGCAAACTCGAGGCGGTCCTGCACACTCTGGTCCAGCGAGGCCAGCCACTGGGGGGAGGGAGCGAGGGGGGGATTGGGGGGTACGAACTGAGCAGGGCATAGTGGTAGGATGGACCAAGGGCAGACAGATGGCAAACTCGAGGCGGTCCTGCACACTCTGGTCCAGCGAGGCCAGCCACTGGGGGGAGGGAGCGAGGGGGGGATTGGGGGGTACGAACTGAGCAGGGCATAGTGGTAGGATGGACCAAGGGCAGACAGATGGCAAACTCGAGGTGGTCCTGCACACTCTGGTCCAGCGAGGCCAGCCACTGGGGCGAGGGAGCGAGGGGGGGATTGGGGGGTAGGAACTGAGCAGGGCATAGTGGTAGGATGGACCAAGGGCAGACAGATGGCAAACTCGAGGCGGTCCTGCACACTCTGGTCCAGCGAGGCCAGCCACTGGGGGGAGGGAGCGAGGGGGGGATTGGGGGGTAGGAACTGAGCAGGGCATAGTGGTAGGATGGACCAAGGGCAGACAGATGGCAAACTCGAGGCGGTCCTGCACACTCTGGTCCAGCGAGGCCAGCCACTGGGGGGAGGGAGCGAGGGGGGGATTGGGGGGTAGGAACTGAGCAGGGCATAGTGGTAGGATGGACCAAGGGCAGACAGATGGCAAACTCGAGGTGGTCCTGCACACTCTGGTCCAGCGAGGCCAGCCACTGGGGGGAGGGAGCGAGGGGGGGATTGGGGGGTACGAACTGAGCAGGGCATAGTGGTAGGATGGACCAAGGGCAGACAGATGGCAAACTCGAGGCGGTCCTGCACACTCTGGTCCAGCGAGGCCAGCCACTGGGGGGAGGGAGCGAGGGGGGGATTGGGGGGTAGGAACTGAGCAGGGCATAGTGGTAGGATGGACCAAGGGCAGACAGATGGCAAACTCGAGGCGGTCCTGCACACTCTGGTCCAGCGAGGCCAGCCACTGGGGGGAGGGAGCGAGGGGGGGATTGGGGGGTAGGAACTGAGCAGGGCATAGTGGTAGGATGGACCAAGGGCAGACAGATGGCAAACTCGAGGCGGTCCTGCACACTCTGGTCCAGCGAGGCCAGCCACTGGGGGGAGGGAGCGAGGGGGGGATTGGGGGGTACGAACTGAGCAGGGCATAGTGGTAGGATGGACCAAGGGCAGACAGATGGCAAACTCGAGGTGGTCCTGCACACTCTGGTCCAGCGAGGCCAGCCACTGGGGCGAGGGAGCGAGGGGGGGATTGGGGGGTAGGAACTGAGCAGGGCATAGTGGTAGGATGGACCAAGGGCAGACAGATGGCAAACTCGAGGCGGTCCTGCACACTCTGGTCCAGCGAGGCCAGCCACTGGGGGGAGGGAGCGAGGGGGGGATTGGGGGGTAGGAACTGAGCAGGGCATAGTGGTAGGATGGACCAAGGGCAGACAGATGGCAAACTCGAGGCGGTCCTGCACACTCTGGTCCAGCGAGGCCAGCCACTGGGGGGAGGGAGCGAGGGGGGGATTGGGGGGTACGAACTGAGCAGGGCATAGTGGTAGGATGGACCAAGGGCAGACAGATGGCAAACTCGAGGCGGTCCTGCACACTCTGGTCCAGCGAGGCCAGCCACTGGGGGGAGGGAGCGAGGGGGGGATTGGGGGGTAGGAACTGAGCAGGGCATAGTGGTAGGATGGACCAAGGGCAGACAGATGGCAAACTCGAGGCGGTCCTGCACACTCTGGTCCAGCGAGGCCAGCCACTGGGGGGAGGGAGCGAGGGGGGGATTGGGGGGTAGGAACTGAGCAGGGCATAGTGGTAGGATGGACCAAGGGCAGACAGATGGCAAACTCGAGGCGGTCCTGCACACTCTGGTCCAGCGAGGCCAGCCACTGGGGGGAGGGAGCGAGGGGGGGATTGGGGGGTACGAACTGAGCAGGGCATAGTGGTAGGATGGACCAAGGGCAGACAGATGGCAAACTCGAGGTGGTCCTGCACACTCTGGTCCAGCGAGGCCAGCCACTGGGGCGAGGGAGCGAGGGGGGGATTGGGGGGTAGGAACTGAGCAGGGCATAGTGGTAGGATGGACCAAGGGCAGACAGATGGCAAACTCGAGGCGGTCCTGCACACTCTGGTCCAGCGAGGCCAGCCACTGGGGGGAGGGAGCGAGGGGGGGATTGGGGGGTAGGAACTGAGCAGGGCATAGTGGTAGGATGGACCAAGGGCAGACAGATGGCAAACTCGAGGCGGTCCTGCACACTCTGGTCCAGCGAGGCCAGCCACTGGGGGGAGGGAGCGAGGGGGGGATTGGGGGGTACGAACTGAGCAGGGCATAGTGGTAGGATGGACCAAGGGCAGACAGATGGCAAACTCGAGGCGGTCCTGCACACTCTGGTCCAGCGAGGCCAGCCACTGGGGGGAGGGAGCGAGGGGGGGATTGGGGGGTACGAACTGAGCAGGGCATAGTGGTAGGATGGACCAAGGGCAGACAGATGGCAAACTCGAGGCGGTCCTGCACACTCTGGTCCAGCGAGGCCAGCCACTGGGGAAAAGGGAGCGAGAGGCAATTGGGGGACGTAATGAGAGGGGTTGTGAGGAGGCAAAGGCAAAGCAGGGAGTTTATACTAGGAATAAGAGTGAGAAAGGTAAGTGGGAGACGAGGAGGGCAATGAGGGGGGACGACAGACTCATGCTCGTGACCTTCTTCACCCTTCCTTCCACCACCCCTCCGTCCCATAGTCCCTCCCACCTGCCAAGTTCAGCCCCACAATGCTCAACGCACACCCCCCTGCCTGCCTGCGCCCACGCCCACCTGGCGAGTGCCGTCGAAGTTAAAGGGTGCCCCGGAGGAGAGCAGGAAGAGCAGGTGGAAGGGCGGACGCGCGGAGGGCAGCAGCGCAAACAGGCGTGAGAAGAGGCGCAGCAGCTGCAGCACCGCCGCTACCCCGCTGGCACTGCTGGCAGGGCCGGACGCGAGCGACTGGGGTGGGGGTAAGGGGAGACGTGGGGTGGGGGTGGGAAGGGGAATGGCGGTGGGGAACGAGGGGTGCATGGGAAAGTATGAGGGGCGGAACAGCAGCGCTGCAAGTGGAGGAACTTGATGTGAGGGAGCGAAGGGGAGGTGGCGGAGGGCATGGAAGGGATGGATGGCTGATAGAGCACGACGAGGGGCAGCGGACTCTGTAGGACGGAAGGGAGGAGCGTGAGCAGGAGCGAGAAGCGGGAGGGTAGAGGAGAGGCGTGGGAGTGCAATGCTGAGAGGAGGCAGGGGGCTGAGAGGAGGCAGGGGGCTCACAGGCACGAGGCCGAAGGTGTCAAGTGGTGCCACCACGGCCACTATGGGCAGCGCCTCCCTCCTCCCGCCCTGCGCCTGCCCCTGCCCCTGCGCCTGCGCGTCGCCGTACAGCCATGCCTCCATGGCCGGTAGGGGCGAGGAGGCTGGCAGCTTGCGGGGCTCGCCCGCTGTCACCACTAGCTTGAAGCTGATTGGGTGAGAAAGGGTGGAGACGGGGAGGGGAGGAAGAAAGGGGAGGAGGGGGAGGGAGGGGCGATGGAGCAGGTGGTGTGGGAGGACAGAGTATGGCGCGCAGTGAGAGGAAAGGGGCGAGTTGCAGCGTTAAGGGATGTCCATGAGTGCACTGAAGCGATAGAGATTTGGATATGTGGGAACCGGTGAGAGTGGCATTCCTGTGGCACACGGCCCAGTGCTCACCCGCCATTGGTGGCCGATGCTGGCTTGCCCGCCCTGTCGTTGCTCTCCACGTCAGCCGCCAGCTTTGACAGCTCAGCATTGTCAACAGCGAAATACACAGGCACCTTCAGGTGGGCGGAGGGTGGAAGGGGCAAGGGTAGAAGGTGGGGAGGGCGGTGGGTGGGGAGTGAAGTAGAAATGGGAGTGTGTCGAAGGCAATACAGTCAGCATAGGAACCAGTTATTGACTTTTCACAGAGCCGACAACAAGTGCCAGCATGGCATGGTGCAGGCGCTCCATTCATCAGAGAGCTCCATTCATGAGAGCGCCCTGTTCAACGGCTCACTCACCGGTATGTTGGCCTCCAGAAGCCGCTCCTCTAGCTGCGCTGCGCCACCACCTCCACATGCTCCTTCACCTCCCCCGCGCCCTCTCCTGCCCTGGCCTTGCTCTTCTTCATGACAAGCACTGACCAGTTGCTCACTCACCGGTATGTTGGCCTCCAGCAGCCGCTCCTCTAGCTGCGCCACCACCTCCACATGCTCCTTCACCTCCCCCGCGCCCTCTCCTGCTCCCGCCCTGCTCTGCTCATCAAAGCGCCCTGCTCAACCGCTCACTCACCGGTATGTTGGCCTCCAGCAGCCGCTCCTCTAGCCTGGCCACCACCTCCACATGCTCCTTCACCTCCCCCGCGCCCCCTCCTGCCCTGGCCTTGCTCTTCTTCATGACAAGCACTGACCAGTTGCTCACTCACCGGTATGTTGGCCTCCAGCAGCCGCTCCTCTAGCCTCGCCACCACCTCCACATGCTCCTTCACCTCCCCCGCACTCACTAACTCACTCAATCACTCGCTCATTCACTCAACCGCTCACTCACCGGTATGTTGGCCTCCAATAGCCGCTCCTCTAGCCGCGCCACCACCTCCAGGTGCTCCTTCACCTCCTCCGCGCCCTCTCCTGCCCCGGCCTTGCTGGCGTCATCGTCCGCATCGTCGTCCTCTCCCTGACCGCCATCTGGCAGCGAGGAGCTGAAGTGACGTGGCAGGATGAAGAGCAGCCCTCCCACTTTGCGGGATCCCGCCACCACCTCTGATGACGTGGCGGAGAAGAGGGGGGAAGAGGCAGTGAGGGGGAGGGAAGGGGTTGAGAGGAGCAGGTAAGGTGGGGAAGAGTTAACCACGCTCTGAGGCGCCTCAAATCAAGGCATGGGTGATATGTGCGAGCAGGCTCTTGCAGCAACATGGGAGCAGCTTCCACATGCTCGCACGTCGCATGTCGCATGTGGGAAAGCGCGATGCCGCGCTCTCACCATCGAGGAGAGTGAAGTTGATCCGTTGGATCGGCATCACGATCACGGCGCGCATCAGATCCGCCTCCGATGCTGCTGACGTGGCCAGCCCCGACGACGCGTACAGGCTGAACGACGCCTTGCGCGACCCGAACGGCGCGCCGCCCAGATCGTACTGCGATGAGATGACATGGATTGCGGGCAGGGGGGCAGGGAGGCGGGGGTTAAAAATGGATGGAACGTGACTTTATGCGGCGTCACGTTTGGCCTTGCCTCAAGGACGTTACCCGAGCCCGCACGTCCAGCAGTCATTCAAGTTCTAAGCCCTCGCCACCGCCAGCGAATGAGCCCTCCCTGGTCGATCGCGCGGTGCGATGCCCTGAGGCAGCGCTGCCGTGAATCGCGCTTTCCTGCTACGACTTGCAATCCGCACCAACAGCTTTTGGATCTGATACGGAATGCATCGCACGCACCGCATCGCACTGCAGCAGAATGACGCGGCCCTTCCTTCCCGGTGCGCGCGCTCTGCTCATCCGCGATTCTGCTGAACTCCACAGATCTGAGGCTTCCAGTCCTACAAAGCCCTATACCTCGCGCGCAGCCACCAGATCGCACGGTCCCTCGGCTCAAGATTACCCAGATCGAGCCGCCAGAATGCACGCACCGCAAAGGTTCTGCTCGCACGCGATTCCCTATGCGCACATCGATGGATCCAGACGGCTAGAAAGAGATTTCGGATCGGAATTCAGGCCGTTCACGACACGGGCGATGGCAGATCCGACGGACCTGGATCATTCTGTAGACGTCGACGACGGAGGCGGCGTCGGAGAGCACGGGGAAGACCATAAGCGCGCCGATGAGCGCCACTGCCGCCTGCAGCACCACCGCCGCGCGAAGCAACGGCGCCGGGCGCACGCGGCTGCTGCGGGAAAACGGATCCATTGGGATCGGCGGCGTGGAGAAACACGACGCGCAGACGACGGATACCGAATGGACACGGGAGGGATGGAGAAGGGGGGGGGGCGCTCCGGACCAGAATGGCTGGCTGGATCCGTGTTGCTGAAGATGAAACAGGGCAGCGGCAGGGAGGTGGCGAAAGATGATTTGGGCCCTGTGGCCCAGCCCACCAGCTTGGTGGCGGCAAACTGGATTGAATGGAAACGAGGGCGTGTTTTGTTTGTCTCGAAAAATCTCCGGGATCAGGTTGCACGCGGCCCCGGGAAAATTTGTTCCTCCTACCCAGTTTCACCTACACGTTTCGACTCCGCCACGGAGGAGAACGGGTCTCCATGAATCGTTCGCACTCCTGGCAGTTGCGACCCGATCACTGTTGCCGCGCAAAGTCAAAGTCAACCGACTAATTTGAGGTTCTTTCTGCATCTCCCAGCGGCTGTCATTCTTCACACTCGCTTCCGCTCCTTCCTCTCCCCATAACGTGCGCATCGTCGTAAGCGGCGTCCGCCACCGAAGCGCGTGTCTCCGTCTGCCGGCCGTCAGCCGTCCGATGGTCAAATGGCACGGCTTCGCTTGCGCTGCCGCCGCCGCCATCGGCCACAGCGGCATCGACGCGACGCGCAAGTACGCGTCGCAGACGCTCTCCTCTGCCGAGCTCGTGACGCTCGTCGGCATTCTCGATGCGCTCTTCCTCTCCTCCTTCATCCTCGCGTTCCGCCTCGTCACCGACCTGCGCTTCGTGACGTGGAAGCTCCTGCAGATTCTCGTTGCCAGCTCAGCAGCAAAGATCCTAGCCGGCGTGATGTACCAGCGCGCGTTACACGTGGCACCGATATCCACGACCGTTCCGTTCCTCGCGTTCGTACCCGTGCTCTTACTCGCGACGTCGTTTCTTCTCCTGGGTGAAGTCCCGAGCGTTCAAGGCGTGATTGGCGTCGTAGTTGTAACGGCAGGTGGTTACCTCCTAGCATTACAGAGCAGCGCGGGAAGCGGCAGTCGCGGCTCGAGCAGATCTAACAGCCGAGCCAGTAGCCCTCGGTATGCCGTTGCTACTACTAGTAGCGGGATTTCTTCTAACGAAATCGAGGCTCTTGGTGATAGAATCGGGGCCTCCGGTACAATAAAACTTACTGACAGTGTCGAAGCTGATGATGAAGCTAGGATTTCTCGAACTGACTCTGCCAGAGCTAGCTCACCGGCTCGGGCCGAACCGTCGTCCCCTTTAACCCCCATCCCGGCACAACCTAGGTCAATTCTGAGGGGAAATCACCCTGTTCCTTTTTCCGCACCTCCAAGCCACCGCACCGTAGCTAGACGTCTGACAGGAAACACTCAACCCGGAACTAAGGGGGAAACTGACATAACTGAGAGTCCTTCTGGTGTTGCTGACCCAAGAAATAGCTCTGACTCTGCTTTTGAAATAGCTTCGGATGCAGGCATGGATTCTCCAGACCTGCGTGCCGAGGCTGACTTGGTGCTAGGTTCGGACATAGCGTTGGATTTGAGCTTCGGGCAGCGAATCGAACGGGCAGTGAGTGAAAGACACTCGGGCAGCGGGTTAAGGGCAGAAGGGAGGGCAGGAAACGCGGCGGGAGAAGAGGAAAGGGAGGAGGTGACAGCTGGGGGAGGGAGGAATGCCACTTTGGCTGGTGAGAGTACCGGAGAGAGCAGACAGAGAAGTTTTCCTGAAGGTTCTAGCAGCAGTGAGATCGTGGCCGGCGGTGGGTTCGGAGGCGGAAGAGGGTTCTATTCCCGAGCCTCAAGAGGCCGGTTCGGCACTGGCTTGGGAATTGGGCTAGGTTCGGCTCACCATCCCCAGGAGGAGCATGGATCCGCCCAATCTAGCCCTGCCACGTCAGGAGGGCGAACGATCACAAGGGGAGACGGGGCAAGAGGGGAAGCAGGGGAGGTGGTGGGTGAAGGGGAGCAGGGAGGAGGGGAGGGCAAGGGGGGGAAGAGAGAGAGCGTGAGACAACAGCAGGAGGCGACAGCACAGCAAGGAGCAGCGCCGTCGTCAGCAGGAGGGGTGTGGCGAACGAGAAGTGGGAGGCGGAGAGGGGGGTGGATGGGGGCTTGGTTGCTGGTGCTGCTGCAGCAGGTGTGGGGGGCGGTGGTGGGAGGGAAGGAGGAGCGGGATGTGGAGGCGGGGAGGAGGGGGTGGGTGAAGGTGCTTGTGTCGAGGACGACTCGTGTGCGCCTGCTGCTGGGCGCAGTGCTCGCCCCGTTGGGGTGAGTCAGTGAGTGAGTGAGTGAGTGAGTGAGTGAGGTTGTGAGTGAGTGAGGGAGTGAGGGAGTAGCCATGAGGTCCAACAAGCCTCTCTCTCCCACTTCCCTGCCTTGTGCCTCTCTCGCTCACATTCCCATTTCAACACCCCTTCTGCTCAGTTCTTCCGTCTCTCTCCCTTTCACTCCCCACACCGCTTCGTGTGAATCAGAAAGAGGGCCGGCGTCGTCTGGCAGTATCTGCACGGTCCGCTGAAGCGGTTACGAGTGGTGGTAACCGCATGGGCAAGGGCACCAATGCGAGTGGCAGCACGAGTGGTGCGGGTGCCGTGGGTGGTGGTGAAGGGGGCGCTGAGGTGGGTGGGCGCACAGAAGCGCCACGAGGGGCCGATGCTCATGATGGGGTGCGCCGTGCTGCTCAGCTTCACCAACGGGTATGGCCCCCACCGCCCCCCTGCTCCCTGCTCCCTCAGTTGCTCACCCACCATCCATTCCGCTCACCATTCACACGCGTTCTTGTCCTCTGGCGCTTCAATCTCCCTCCCCCCGCTGCTGCTTCCCCTTGCTGCCCCCTCCTTGCCCGCACCCACCTTGTTGCCCCTCGCCCCTGCCCCCACTGCTTCTCCCCGCAGGTGTGACAAGCTGGGGGTGCACCAGTCGCCGTCAGTGGTGGTGTTTGCGGGCCTGCAGCGCCTCTTCATGGCCGTGCCACCCGTGCTCTACCTCGCCGCCACCAGGTGTGCTACAGCTGCCCCCAGGTGTGCTACAGCTGCCCCCAGGTGTGCTACAGCTGCCCCCAGGTGTGCTACAGCTGCCCCCAGGTGTGCTACAGCTGCCCCCAGGTGTGCTACAGCTGCCACCAAATGTGCTAAAACTGCAGCTGCGTCTGCCTCTTGCCGCCACCACGTGCACTTTCAACCTCACCAAGCGAGACTTGCTGCTTGCATTGCACCACATGCAACTTGCCCTCCCCTTTTTTCTCACCTCCCCTCATCCCCCCTCCTTCCCCCTTCCCCCAGACCATCCGCGTTTCCCCTGCTCCTGAAGCACTTCCCGCTGCTGGCGGGCATATCAGCATGTGAGATCACGGCTATTGTCTTCTATCTGCAAAGCCTGCACTGGCTCCTCGTCTCCTACTCCGTTGCTGTGAGCCTCCCGCTCTCCACTCCCCTCTCTTCCCTTCCCCACTCTCCTCTCTTCCGTCCGATTCTCACTGGGCAGCGACTCAAGCTGCTGTCGCCCATCCAGCCCATGTCATGGGCAACTGCAGCACTTAACATATCCATTGCCGCACCACCTTGCATTTTCTAAACACATTCCTCTTCTTCCTTCTCACGGCGTTGCCATGATGCCTCATGTCCCGGCACGTGCCGTGTGTCTCCAGGCGAAGCGCAGCAACATTCTCATCTCCATGTTTGTCGGCTACTTCCTATTCAAGGTAACCCTCTACCCTCTACCCTCTACCCTCTAGCTCTAACTTTCCATGCTACAAAAAAGTGTTTTTCCTCGCTACTCCTTGAGCATGCTTGCTTGCATGCTGCTTTGCCGCACAATAGCTGCATGTCGTTCCGCTCATTCTCCCTCCGCTTGCCCCTCCCGTGTGCAGGAGAACATATGGAAGAGACTACCATACGTGCTGCTCATGATCGCTGGAATGGCACTCATTATCTTTGCCGCATGAATTGTACGCTATGCTGCCTATGCATCATTATGCAATCAACTGACATGTGTTTATATATCCCATTAGTACTGCCCTGCCATGCCATCCCAACCATGACACCAAAGCAGAAGCAGCATAGCAGTGCCAGTACCGTATTACTGCGCTGGCCTTGAAAGGGTGACCTACGGTAGGTTAGCACAACTTGTGCAGAAGACAACCATGGAAGTGCAGGTTGCTCCTCACATACCACCCGAGGGATTTGGGCAGCGAAGTTACAGCTTACCGTACAACTGCGTTGCACGAGAACATGCCTCCATTCCACTTCTACCCTTCTTTTACTCAAGCCTGTACTGCAAAGAGCACCCGTCAATAGAGCAAGTCCACTTGTTGCTGTATCTGACGGCAAAGGGTAAGGAACCTCAAAACTCCTAGCACAATAATCCACTACAAAATATCCAAAACAAGGCCGCATCACACAAAATTATAGTAACCAGATCCTTTAGTCACTAAACAAGTCAACTACTGGATGGTCATTTAGGCAAAGGCAGGCCCCCCTGGTTCCTCACAAACCCTTCCCAACCTACCCAATCCACATGCTCCTTCGCCTCCCTCTTTTCCCTCCCTTCTGCCAACCAGCCCACCAGATGAGACTCCTTCCAATGCAACCTCGCTCTTCCCACCACTGCTGCTCCACCATCCCACACGAGCACACACACCGGCCCTGCACCTCTCCCAACCACTGTCACTGCTGTCACACCTGCTCCAACCATAACTACAGCTGCTCCTGCCACAGCTGCAATAGTCTGTCTTAGCTGCGATAACTGCTGCCGCAGCTACAAGGGAAAGCCTACAGCTCTCCTCTGCTTGCCTTGCATTCACCTTGCATTGCATCAGCCTTGCACCATCCTCGCCTCATCTCCTGCTTCCACTACCGCCTCCCACCGTGCTGTCACCCCCACTCGCTCCTTCCAGTCCCATTCTCACTGCACTTCACTCACTCCCACTCTTAGGCGCACTGTACCTGACTCACTCCTACTCTCACTCACTCCAGTCACTCGCTCCCACTTTTGCACCATCTCTCACTCATTCCCACTCTTCGTTGCACCATCTCTCCATCAGTCCACACTTACTCGCACTCCCACCCATTTCCACTCTTAATCGCATTGTCTCACTCATTCCCACTCCTACTCGCACTCTCCCACCCATTTCCACTCTTAATCGCATTGTCTCACTCATTCCCACTCCTACCCGCACTCTCCCACCCATTTCCACTCTTAATCGCATTGTCTCACTCATTCCCACTCCTACCCGCACTCTCCCACCCATTTCCACTCTTAATCGCATTGTCTCACTCATTCCCACTCCTACCCGCACTCTCCCACCCATTTCCACTCTTAATCGCATTGTCTCACTCATTCCCACTCCTACTCGCATTGTCTCATTCATTCCCATTCCTACTCGCATTGTCTCTAACTTGCACTCTTCTCACACTCTCTATCAGACACTCCACTCTTACGCACTCTCTCTCACTAACTCCAACTCTTACGCACCGTCACCGCCACTCTTACTTGCTCTGTCTCTCACTCACTCCCACTCTCACTCGCACTGCGCTGTTCACTATCACTCCCCTTCTCCACGCCTCTCCTGCCCCTCCCACTGTTCTTCCTGTCCCTTTCCCTCTTCTCATGCCTCCCCTTCCCTCCTCCGCTCCTCCTCTCCCTTCGCTCTTTCCTTCCACTTCTCTCTGATTCGCTATCACTCTCATCACTCTCCCGCTTGTTCTTCCTCCCACTGTGCCTGCGCTTCTCCCTCTCCCTGCGCCTATCCCCATCACTCTCACTCTCACTTCCCTTCCTATCTTTGCTCCTCTCCCACTCCCACCCACTGGCACCAGCCTTACGTCTGCTCCCTTCCTCATACCTCTCTCTTCCACTCCCCCTGCTGCCATCACTGCTGCCAACACTCCCTGCCCTCTCACCTCTCTCCTTCGCATACCCCCCACGAGACTGCTTCTCCTGCCTCCTGCTGCTACCCTTCCTATCAGACCTTCTGCTGACCTCCTTCCCCTCATCCCCATCACTGCCGTCCCTCTCACTCTCCACACGCCCGCTCCTCTCGCTGCCACTCTCCTCCTTCACTTTCCGCCTCGCCTTCTCTCCTGAGTGGCTGCCCCGTTTCTTCCCCTCACTGCCCCTGCCCTCCCGCTTCTTCTCATGCTTCTTTGAGCTCTCCTCCTCCTCCACATCTGTATTTCTCATCCTCCTGCTTTTTCTCTCGTTGATCCTGCTCCTGCTCCTGCTCCTGCTTCTGCTCTTGCTCCTGCTCCTGCTCCTGCTTCTGCCCCTGCTGCTGCTCCTGCTCCTCTCCCGTTCTCCCTTCCCATCCCTCCCTTCCTTCCTTCCACCTCGCCCCCTCCCCACATGCCTATCCCCACTCCTCCTCGCGCTCCTCCCCTCGTCGCCCTCACTGCTGCTCCCAGCTGACGTCTCCTTCCCCCTAACACGCTGCTCGCTCTCCTCTCGCTCCTTCACCAATCTCCTCTTCTCCTCCTGCTCCTCTCGGCCGCTCTCCTCCCCCTCCCTCCTACTCTCACTCCCATCCCTCTTCCTGGAAGTATCTCGCCCCTCACTCCCATCCTCAATATTCTCCTTCTTCCCTCGCCTCTCCTCACTCGCCCTTCTCACTCCAACCCCCCCCTCCGACTCCTCGCTCCTTTCACTGCTCGGACTCCTTTCTCTCTTGCCTCTTGCCTCATCTCTCATTTGTCCTTCCCCATCGCTCTTCATCGCCTCCCCACCACTCTTCTTCTCCTCTCTATCACTCACCGCAGCACCACGGGAGCTCTCAGGGGTATCAGGCCCATAGCGGAGAGCAGCAGCTCTTTCCTTTTCCGACTCTTCTTCCTCCTCCCTTCCTCTCGCCTTCCCAGCCTCTCTCTCCTTGTCACTTTCTTCCTTCCTGCCTTTCCTCCTCCTCTCCTCATCGCTATCATCCGACTGGCTATCACCTCTCCCTCGCTTCCGTCCCTTTTCCTACCGCATTCCTTCTCCGTCTCTCCTTCATCCTCCTCGCATCTTCATCCTCCCCCTCCTCGTCACTCACTTTGCCACCTCCCCTCGACCTCCCACTCCCCCGCTTCCCACCACCCCCACTCCCCTTGTCTGAGTCTCCTCCACTAGAGTCTGACCCGTCCGCCTTTCGCTTCCTCTTCTCATCCTCGACACTGTCTTCTCTCGCTTTCTCCTTCCGTCCTTTCTTCTCTGGAGTCTTCACCCCCTTCCCTGTGTTTCGAGACTCTTCCTCCTCACCACCACTCTCATCCCTCACATACCTGTGTTTGCCTCTCCTCTCCTCCTCCCGATTCTTCCTGCTCTTCTCTCCATCACTCTCATCATCATCTGACACGCCTCCTCGCCCTTTCTCCATCCGCTTACCCTTCTTCCACTCTTCGTCTCTCCGATCGCCGTGCCTTCCGGCCCTACCGCTGTCCCTGTCGCCCTTATCTCGATCCATGTGCTTTCCTTTACCCCTACTCTTCGCTCCACCATCGCTGTCCCCATCACTCTCCTCCCTCCGTCCTCTCTTCCTGTCATCGTCAGAATCATCCCTCTCGTTTCCTCCCCTCCTATCCCGCTCATCACCTCCCCGCCTATCCCTCTTCTCATCCTTCCTCCTCGTCTCCCTACCTCCCTTTCTCCTGACCCTCTCCACACTGCCATCATCAGCACTGTCGTTATCCGTATCATCCCTTTCCCTCTTCCGTCCACCATGACCCTCCCTTTTCATTTCACCTCGGTGCGTCCCTTGCCTCTCCTCGTCCTCACCATGGCCCCCTTCCTCATCACTACTCTGCCTCCTCTCCCTTCCCTTCTTCTTCCTCTCATCCCTCCCCTCCCTCTCCTTCCTTTTCCCTCCCTCGCTTTCTCCCCCCTCCTCCCTCTCACCATCCTTACCACTTCGCTTCGTCCTCTTCCCCTCCTCCCTTTCTTCGTCAGAATCACGCTCTTTTCGCCCTTCTCGTTTCTTCTCCCTCTCACGCCTCTTCTCCTTCTTCCCTTCCTCCTCCTCCTCCCCCCTCTCACGCCCCTCACGCCTATGCTTGTGCTCATGCCCATGTCGCCTTCCCCGTTTCGCCTTCTCATCCGTCTCCTCCCCCCCATCCTTCTCCTCTTCCTCCTCCCTGCCACTCTCCTCGCTATCCTCCCTCTTCCGGTACCGGCGTTTTACATCCCTCTCTTCATCTCGTCCTTTATTCCTCTTCTTCTCTTTCTCCTTCTCCCTCTCCCTCTCCTTCTCCCTCTCCCTCTCCCTCTCCTTCTCCCTCTCCCTCTCCTTCTCCCTCTCTCTCTCCCTCTCCCTCTCCCTCTCCCTCTCCTTCTCCTTCTCCTTCTCCTTCTCCTTCTCCTTCTCCCTCTCCCTCTCCCTCTCCCTCTCCCTCTCCCTCTCCTTTTCCTTCTCCTTCTCCCTCTCCCTCTCCTTCTCCCTTTCCTTCTTCCTTTCTTTCTCTCTCTCCTTCTCTTTCTTCCTCTCCTTCTCCCTCTCCTTCTCCCTCTCCTTCTCCATCTTCCTCTCCTTCTCCCTCTCCCTCTCCTTCTCTTTCTCCTTCTCCTTGTCCGCGCGCCTTTCCTCTCGCTTCTCCCTGTGTCTGTGCTTGTGCTTGTGCTCCTTACCCCACCCCTCCTCGTCATCTTCCTTCTCGTCCCCATCTTCAACCCGCTTCTTCCTTCCTCTCTCCTTCTCCTTTCCCTCAGACATCTTACTCTTCTCCTCCTCTTCGTCCTCTCCTCGTTCTCCCTCCCTACCTGAACCCTCCTCTCCCGTCTCCTTCCCCGGCTGCCTAGCCATCCCCCCGCCTGTCTCCCCAACCTCGCCCCTCAAATCATCCTCCCACTTCTCCTTCTCGCTCCCTTCCTTGTTCATATCTCCCCTACCGCTCCCCCCTCCATCCTCTCCGCTCTCCTCTCCTTGCCTCCCGTCCTCCACACCATGCTCCCCCTGAGCCTCTCCTTCGCCTCCAATTGCATTGCTTCCCAATTCACTCTTTCTCTCAACATTCTCTTCCTTTTCTTCCTTCTCTTCCTTCTCCTCCTCTACCTTCTCCTCTTCTTTCTCCTTCTCCTTCTCCTCCTCTTCCTTATCTTCCTCTTCCACCTGAGTGCCATCTCTTTCTCCTCTCTCCGCCTCCTCCCTCTCTTTCGCACCCACCCCTTTCCCCTCTTTCTCCCCTTCTTCATCCGCCTTCCCCTCACCCCCCTCCCTCCTCTCCTCCTCTCCCTCCATCTCCCCTCCACCCTCTCCCAACGCCCTCCTTTCTCCCCTCTCCTCCTGATCCTCTCCCTTCTCCCCACCTCCACCCCTCTTCTCCTCATCCTCCTCCTCCTCTTCCCGCTCCCTCCTCCTCCTCCGCCGCCTCCGATCCCTCTTCACAGCAGCAACATCAACCTCCTGCCCCTCGTCATCAATCACCCCAGCCTCCCTCAACTCCCCCTCCAGGCTCCTCACATGCTCGCGCCACAGCTCCTCCCGCTCGTGCCGAACCAGATCGCGGTACCGGTCCTGGTGCCGAAGCACGGACTTAGCATCGGGCCAGGAGGAGGCGAGGCGCAGCCCGTCCTCGCGAGCCTCGGAGATGGCAACCACTGACAGCTCCTCCTCGAGCAACTCGCGAAACTCTCGCTGCACGCGCTGTTGGGGGGAGAGAGAGTGGGGGGGGAGGGGGGGGCGGACGAGAGATGTTTGAAGTCGAGTCAACAAGCGAGCCTCGGAGATGGCGGCCACTGACAGCTCCTCCTCGAGTAACTCGCGGAACTCTCGCTGCACGCGCTGTTGGAAAAGAGAGGGGGGAGAGATAGGGGGGGATGAGGGGAACGAGAGATGTTTGGAGTTGACTCATCAAGCAAGCCTCGGAGATGGCGGCCACTGAGAGCCCCTCCTCCAGTAGCTCGCGGAACTCCCTCTGCACGCGCTGTTGGGGGGAGAAAGGGGAGGGGAAAGGGGGGGGGAGTTTGGGGGGGGGGGGGGGGGACGAGAGATGTTTTGAGTGGAGTCAACAAGCGAGCCTCAGAGATGGCGGCCACTGACAGCTCCCTCTGCACGCGCTGTTGGGGGGAGAGGGTGGAGGGGGAACGAAAGGGGATGAGGGAAAAGAACAAAAAATGGGAAGGGAATTTAAGTAGGGAGTGAGGAACGGGGGCTGATGCATTTTGAAGACAAAGGCTCGTGCGTGCTGTAAGCTGGATACGCCCTTCACCTGAATGCGCCTGTCACTCACCTTGATGAGGCGAGCCATGTGTTCGTAGAAGAGGTCCTGGCGGTCGCGGCTGGTGAGCTCCTTGCTGAGGCGAGCCATGTGCACGCCGTGACGTGACCTGAATGCGCCCTTTCACTCACCTTGATGAGGCGAGCCATGTGCATGCCGTGACGTGACCTGATGCACCACCCACCTTGATGCGCCTGTCACTCACCTTGATGAGGCGGGCCATGTGTTCGTAGAAGAGGTCCTGGCGGTCACGGCTGGTGAGCTCCTTGTTCCAATAGCACGACGCCTCGTCCTCCTCCAGCTTCTCCCGCGCGTCTATCCATGATATCTGCCACCACCCAGCGGCGGGCGAAGGAGGGGGGGGAGCAGCAGTGAACAATGAGCATGGAGGCGGCAGGAAGGACCGCCACAACCAGAGGGGGGGGGGCGGGAGGTGGGAGCAGGCGGGCGGAGGGAGTAGCAGTGGGCGATCAGCACACAAGGGAATACATACATCACACGCGCGTGAAAGCGCAAGAAATCGATTGCTTCATGCAGAATGCTTGGAATCATCCCTTCCCCCACCAACCCCATCATCCCTTCCCCCACCAACCCCATCATCCCTTCCTTCCTCCCTCTCTCCCCCCATTTCCCCTCCTTTCCCCCCCTCCTCCCTTCCGCCCTTCTCCCCCCGCCCTACATTGGGCGTCTGTATCTCCCGGCGCAGCAGGTCCTCAAAGTCCTCCTTGGCCTCCCGGCGCCGCACGCGCGCCCGCTCCCTCTCCTTCTTCTCCTCCTCGCGCTGCCGCAGCCTCTTCTCCTCCCGCTCCTGCTCGCGCTTCCGCTCCTGCAGCCCGCAACCACAGAAACATCACAACACAGATTCCTTCTCTTTACAGCAGCAATCTCTTCATTAGGACAATAGCACAAGCCTCTGAGGCGATAGCGAGCTCTAGAACGAGTAGCAGGCGGCAGCAAGCACAGCAGAACAAGGGGGCATGCCACATAGTCCTCGTCCCCCATCCCCCACCCTTTCTCCCCCTTCCCCCACCACGCCACTCACCTCCTCCTCCCAGCGCCTGCGAGCCTCCCTCTCCTTCTCCTCCTCCTCGCGCTGCAATGTGTCCATGAACGTGTCAAACAGCCGCTTGCTGTCACTCATCAACAACTATAGTCGCCTCACAACTCACCTCCTCCTCCCATCGCCGGCGCGCCTCCCTCTCCTTCTCCTCCTCCTCGCGCTGCAGCCCGTCCATGAACGTGTCAAACAGCCGCTCGCGGTCCTCCCAGTGCTCCACCGCACTGTACCGCTCGTCCTCCTTCAACTCCTCCCGCAGCTGCGTGGGGGAAACGGAAGGGAGGGTGACGGGTGAGGAGGGAGTGAGAAGCAGAAGTGAGCTGGTTAGGTGGGGGACGGGGAAGGGATGATCCTTCCCAGACGCCCTGTTCGCTGTTCTTGCTGTGCTTGGCAGACGGGGAGGTGCAAAGAGTGAGGGTCACGTGTGCGCACCAATGACAGGGGCGAGTCTAGAGACTGATGATAGGAATGCAGTCAGCAGTGCAAGACTAGCATGCAGGGGTTCGGGTTTCACAATGCCTGAGCTTCACTGCTATGCAGTAGCACTAGCAGCAGCGTTTACCCAATGCGTGCAGTCAGCACAGCGACCGGGTTTTTCAGGCATCCCAGCATGTGTGGTTGTCCTTGAACCTGCTGCACGTGCCACACATGCCACGTACATGCCATGCCACCACGCATGCATGATACATAGTCTAGCCTAGTTACAAACGCAGACCTCAAACCTGCTGAAAAGAGATTCTAGCATGTGATTCATTTTCCAACTGCGTTGTTTGAAAGCGCTCAATGTAGGAAATCAATCAAACCTGCTATAAGTCATGTTTATTAAGCTGACTGAAAAAAGCGCCTCTGCCAAACATGATTGTTCAACACGCACCACCAACAGTGCGAAAACACGTGCTATGTGCAATTTGAACTGCGCAGCTGATAGATCGTGTGAAAGATCAAATCGTTATCTTCTTTTATTTGCTTTGTGCAGTTAAGTGTAAAAGAGAGTTACCTTGGACCAGCGGGAGGAGAGCGCGATGTAGCGCTTGCCACAGTACTCTTTCAGCATCTCCACAAACGCTTCTTCTGCCGCCTCCTTGCGCTGCTGCTGCCTCTCCTCCTCCAACCGCTTCAGCGGCACCACCCTGCCGTGATGAGCGTGCATGGTCGAGAGAGAAAGCACGGTGCATGGCAGAGAGAGACACACACACATGCTTGGAAGTGAGGGACGAACGAGGCACCACAATGCGGCGTGGTTGCATCCTAAGCCAAACCCCAAGAGGCTCAGCTCACGCTCACAGGGCCGGGAGGGCTGTTGCTTGGTTCTGCCTGACAGTTGCAGCAAATGTGCAGCTCCTACATTCACTCTCAAGACTCTCTGGTTATTTAGTCGACTCAAGTATTGCGCCGCCCCTAAGCCTGTGATGGCACAATTCTCCAGTCGCCCCTACAGCCACACTCAAGATGGCTGGATGCCCCATGCAGCTGCCGATGCATCATACCCGTGCAGTGTGTATTTTCATCTTGATGATCTCCAGGAACAACCTTTCCGTTACCGGAAGGGCCTTAGAATGCAACGAAATTAGGAACATTTCAGGGAGAGGAACTTTACACACGCGGTGGGTCAGGTGAGAGGGAAGGGAGAGTCAGAAGGCTGTGATAGTGCCTATAACGTTTGCTCTGGCTGCTGGCCTGCAGAGGGGAAGGATTATTGGCAGAAACTGACGTGGCAGCAGAGCAGTGGGCACAGTGCACCAACACCTATCAGATCTTATACATATATATGCTGAAGAGCAGCCAAGGCTGAAAACGCAACAACATTTGAAGCCTTTTTAAAAAAGGAAAAAAACACGAGACACAAAGGAGGACAAAACTACCACTGTTTCTGGGAGCAACGATGACATGTCTCTGAAAGAAAAGACGACAAGGCTCCAGAAACAAAGGTGACATGGTTGTGAGGGCGGGCCACACAGGGTTCACTTTCTGTTCATAGCGGTTCATTACGATGCAGTGCAATTTAGAGCACTTTGCTTGCTTTACCCCGCTTTCAACTGCTACTAACCAGGCTGGACAGTGATGCATGAGCTGCCCTAAGAAGTATGCATGACCCGCCCTAAGAACAAAGATGGCATGGCTCTAGAGGCATAGATGACAAGTCTATGGAAACAAAGATAACGTGCTATTGAAAAAAGAGATGACAGTGCTCTAAGAAACAAATATGAGAAAATTATGGAATCCAAGAAAGCATGGTTATAAAAGCAAGATGACAAGACCATGGAAGCAAAGATGGGCATGGTTTTGAAAGCACAGATGACATGGTTGTGAAAGATAATAAGACTCATGTGCGCATGGAAGCAAGAAAGGGAAGTGGAGTCCGGCAGGAGAAACAATTACCATTGAATCAATGTTACATGTGTTTCTCCTGCCGGATCTATTTTGTTCTTATTGCACAGCATTTTCCAGAGAGACTTCAAGCAAGCACCATTCAATCCTTTGCAACAATGCATCAACCAAAAATGTGCAATTGCATACAACAAGCTCAATGAGTGCTGGGATGGGAACAAAGGGAATGCGGCCACTGACAAGAGTCTATAAAGCAGGCATGGAAGGTAATTGATGAGGCCAAATAGGAAAACGAGGATCAATCAATTCTCACTTTACAAAGGGGTTTATTATCAATATGCTGCAGCTTGAGCTGTGAAGGTCTTGACAACTGTGCAACTTACACTACTGCGGTTTCCAGATTCGAGTCATATGTGAAGTCCACAAGATGTTACGTTCACAGCAGAACAAAGAAGATCGATGTTTTTTTCTTCTCGATAATCATTTGTAAAGACTACATCCGACCTGGGTTGCTTGAAAAAACAATTCGTTTTGCCCTTACTGCCTGCTCAACGAGAACGCGAGTCCACTGCTCCAAACTAAAACACTCGACTCGAGATATGGAAGCATGACATCGTTTGTTGGAAGTGGGAGGCAAAACGGGCAGACAGGAGAAAGAGAAAAAGAGGGGGGGACGGGGAGGGGGGGGGGAGGGAAGGAGGGCGGGGGGGGTCGTACCGCTCATTGAGGAGTGCGAGGCGGTCCTTGTCCTCCAGCGCTGCGGCCAGCAGGCGCGGGTCAGAGCCCCACTTGCCATCGCCCTGTAGCGTTTCCACCGTTGACTCATGTGTCAGGTCCTGGGATGAGGTGGGAGGGCATGGAGAGAGGGGAGAGAGTGAGTCGGCGGACAGGATACAGCTTGTGGGACATTGCCCTCTAGCAAGGTGCAAAATTTCGGCAAACGTAAAATACGGTCCGTTTTTTACGCTCGTATTTTACGGTCAGATTTAAAAAATTCGGCCGTTTTTTTGTTAGAGATTTTGTGACTTTTTTTTTTTTTTTTGAAGACAGTACACACGACTCTGCTCCTGAGCAGGATAGCAAAGAAGCAATACAATGCTTACAAAGTGTCTAGGTTGCGCTCGTTCAACCCTCCTCCTCCTCCCCCCAGACTCTTCATCCTCTCCTCCCTGGAGTCACCGTTCTACTACAGTCCCACTGATAAATCCCCTTTGTCTTCCTCATGGCTGGTTCATCCGATCGAGGGTTCATGGTTGGAACCAATACTTGAAAATATGTGTAAACCAGCTGGTTACAAGATTTCTGGTGTAAAAAACGGCCGTTTTTTTGCACCACATTAGAATTACCACTTTTTGGCGTTTTAAAACGTTTTAAACGGCCGAAAAATACGATAGCGTATTATACGCCAGAATTTCAATCTTTCGGTCGTTTTTTTGCACCTTGCCCTCTAGCATGCCCACAAGTGGCTTCGTGCGTTAGTGGGCACGTGGGGGGGGGGCACGGAGTGGGTTGGGTTGGGTTGAGGGGGGTGAGACAGGATGCATCAGGTCCTGGGGGGTGTGAGGGCACAGCAGAAGGAGTAATTGGCCTGGGAAACAGAGTGAGTCGGAGACAGGATGCAGCCTTTGGAGATTTAGTTACACATTGGCATCACAGTCGGTCCATTCTCCCACTCGGCCCCAATTGACTCTGCGCTCTGCCATTTCCGCCCGGCCGTTTCAAAGGCCTCAACGGCCGCCTTGATAGACTTTTGAGTCGACTCAAAAGTCGCCACCGCCCCACCCACCCGCAACAAACCCCCCAGTTCCGCCGCCCCCTCTACCCACCAGTTCCGCAAAACGCAAAAACCCTTAATGCTCTTTTGAAACCCTGACTCACCCCGCTCTCCTCCATCTCATCCAGCAAGACTTTGAACGCCTCCACAGCCGCCTTGTGTGCCGACCGCTTCTCCTTGCGCTCCGCCGTCGCCCGCGTGCGCACAAACTCCTCAAATATGGCCCGCCGCTCTGGCAGTGATGGGATGGCCTGCACGTGAAGCATGGAAAGAAAGGGGTATCGAAATTCATGTGCGCTCCGCCGTCGCCCGCGTGCGCACGAACTCCTCGAATATGGCCCGCCGCTCCGACAGCGAGGGGATGGCCTGTCACGACAGGGAGGGAAAGTGGGATAAGAATCCACATAGTGAAAGTGATACACGAATCCATGTGCGCTCCGCTGTCGCCCGCGTGCGCACAAACTCCTCGAATATGGCCCGCCGCTCCGACAGCGAGGGGATGGCCTGCCAGCACGACAGGGAGGGGAAGTGAGATAAGAATCCACGGCACGAAGGGAAAGTGGTTTATGACTCCATGTGCGCTCCGCTGCTGCGCACAAACTCCTCACTGATGGCGCGCCTCTCCGGCAGTGTTGGGGTGGCCTGCAAGGGAAACAACGAGTCGAATGGCATCACTTCCCACACAAATATACAGAGCACGGACAAGAGGTCTACGTGCCCTCCACTGGTGCCGTGTGACAGACGCCAGCGTCCGAACGCTGGACGCTCCAGCTTTGGAGCGTCAGGTGCAACATAGATTCTAAGTACTAACAACGGCCCTTGCTTCCGGTGGAGCGGTGATGGGGGCTGGGTAACACGAGGCAAGCGGGAAGAGGCAAGCAGGAGAGCAGTAACAAGGTGCAATATGCAGCATGGCGCTCACCTTGTAGCGCGCGTCGAAGATGAGTTTGGGCAGCTCTTTCTCCCACTTGGAGAATGGCGCCACTCCCTTCTCCTTCAACATCTCCTGTTGCCCCCAACACATGGTGGCGTCACATGCGCCACGCACAGGCAGAGGAGAAACACTGAGAGTGGTACATAACAGGCATGCACTGCATGCACTGTGTGGATTGCTGAGACAGGCTCGCGAAACCACACATTGCAATAAACATTTGCTCTTTTTGTGTAGTCGTTCGACGGAAGGATGGCAAGGGGGAACGGAGTAACCAGAGGAGGATAAAAAAAAAAAAAAAAAACTAAACAGAAGTGTTAGTGCTCCCTTTCAGGAGGACAGAATCAAAGAGGAGAAGCGAGGAGAGGAGAAAGCGAGGTGACTAAGCGAGTGCAAAGTCCAAAGGTTGGTGGCAGGTTCCATTACGTGAATGCAAAGAATAAGAGGTCATGTCATGCTGCACGTGACAATGCCACCAAATGTTGCACCACTCCATGCCACGCCATGCCACCCCGTGTTTCACCATGCCATGCCACGCTTCACCACACCACACCAGACCACACCACACCACACCACACCACACCATGGCAGAACGTACACGAAACTTCATCGCCCTCTCTTCCAAGCTCAGGTCTTCCAGTGGAACCTCCGCCCCGCCCTTCTCCTCACTCCCCTTCTCCTCACCCTCCTTCTCCCCACCGCCCTTTTCCCCGCCCTCCTTCCCCTCCCCTTCCTTGCCCTGTGCCACGTCTCCACCACCTTCCCTCTCCCCTCCACCATCCTCTCCCCCGTCCTTGCCTTCTTCGCCCTCCTTCTCCCCATTGACTGCCTTGACTCCCTTGACCTCCTTCCCATCCCCACCCTGTGCTCCTGCACTGCCCTTTCCACTCTTGGTCGTCGCAGCAGCAGCAGCAGTTGGAGCAGCCACGCCAGCAGCAGCAGCTGCTGCTACGCCCGCCTTCATCTCCTTGTCCGCGTCCTGAGGGGAAGGGGGGGGAGATACGGGAAGGCTTGTTAACTTCTTTGTTATTGCTAAGCTTTTGGTTCGGGTGAACCAGGGGGTAGAGGCGAGTGCACTGACACGAGGAGACAGCGGATGGGAGCGGGAGCAGGGTTTGGAGACGGGAAGCAGGGACCGAGGCACAGCACAGAAGCATGCAACCTGAAGGGACAGACCATTCCCTGATCTCACTAGCTTCCATCCCTGCAATCTCTCCCACCATTTCCACCCCCCGCACCCTTTCAATCCTATTACACCAGCCTCTCGAACCCTCCACCCTCCCCCTCTCACCGTCCCCCTTCCCCCCACCTGCAGCTTCTTCTTCACCACCTCCAGCGCCGTCGCCTTCCCCAATGCTGCTGCGCCCGCCTTCAACCCTAATCTACCACCCGCCCTCCCCCTCCTCCTACCCCCATCCCCCACCCACCTGCAGCTTCTTCTTCACCACCTCCAGCACCGTCGCCTTCCCCCCTGCTGCTGCGCCCGCCTTGCCCGCCGCAATTAAGATAATATCGTAATACCTCCTACCCCCATCCCCCAATCACCTGCAGCTTCTTCTTCACCACCTCCAGCGCCGTCACCTTCCCCAATGCTGCTGCGCCCACCTTCAACCCTAATCTACCACCCGCCCTCCCCCCCCCCCCCCCCCAGCAATCACCTGCAGCTTCTTCTTCACCACCTCCAGCGCCGTCGCCTTCCCCGCTGCTGCTGCGCCTGCCTTGCCCGCCGCCCCCGCGCCCCCCCGCCCTGCCAACGAGAAGGAGAGCTTGCTGGCGGCGCGCGCCCGCTCCTCCTCCTCCGCCTCCTGCCTCTTCCGCACCTCCTGCACCTCCCCCGGCACCTGCCAGCTCGTGTCCTGGCGCACAGTAGGGAGGGGTGGGGAGGAAGGGGGTGGGGAGGGTGGAAAGGGTGGGGAACGGGGGAGAGAAAGATGAGGTGGATGAGGAAGGGAGGGAAAGGGAAGAGTGGCGGAGTGGGAGTCAAGGGGAGAGGATGGGATGGCGATGAGACTGAAGGCAGAAAAAGCAGAGAAGAGGGACGGCAGGGCATCGATTGGCGTGAGAGTGGTGCACAAGGGAGTGACTGACCTGCGTGGCGGTGTTGTAAAAGTACTTCTTGCCATCACTCGTTGACACCAGCGCCCAGTCCGTGCCCTGCACTCGCTCCCTGTCACCCACATACATGCACACAAATGCACACAGGCACGCACACGCATGCACACGCAGACAGAGCCGAAAGCATAGACATGAACGCGCAGACACCTAAGCAAGGACACGCACATTGATAGGCACTTCTTCTTAGGCTGCATAAGAAATACACGCGCCAGGAGAGCGCGGTGATGAAACCGCCTATTCTATTAGTCTCCCTGCCATCACGTCATGCTCTCCCTACCACAGCACCATGCCATGCTGCTCACCATGCGACGGGAGTGGGCTGCTTCTCCACCTTGTCCTCCTGCACACACGCACATACACGCACGCACACACGCACATACACGCACGCACACACGCACGCACCCGAGGGGAGAGACAGGTGCTTACACATAGGCAGAGAGGCGGACATTAACAAATGTGCGGAGGAGCAGAGAGCTGCAAGGCAGGCGGGTGGGCAGAGGGCGGAGAGGGCGGGGAGGGCGGATTAGGGCGGATTAGGGCGGAGAGTGCGGGGAGGGCAGGGAGGGGCGCGGGGGCACCTGGAGTTTGAAGCCTTTGGGTTTATGGTAGGTGGAGCGGCCAGTGACAGTGTTGTAATAATACACCGTGCCCTCCTCCGTCTTATTGATGTGACTTTTGAAGTCACATCGACATACCTGCAGCTTGAAGCCTTTAGGCTTGTGGTAGGTGGAGCGGCCGGTGACAGTGTTGTAATAATACACCGTGCCCTCCTCCGTCTTATGCGCCGTCCACGCCTCCACTCCCTCCTCCGCCTCCTCCTCCTTCTTCTCTTCCTTCCCCTCCTTTACCTCCTTTCCCTCCTTTCCCTCCCCCTCTTTCTCCTTGGTTGCTTCCTCATTCCCCTCTCCTTGCTTCCCCACTCCTCCCTTCTCATCCCCCTCTCCCCCCTCCTTGTCCCCACCACCTTCTTCCGCTCCCCCGCCTTCCTTCCCTTTCTCCTTCTCCTCCTCCTTTTCCTCCACCTTCTCCTCCACTTTCCCCTGCGCCTCCCGGTCCCACCTCGACTTCTTCCCCCCCTTCACCCCTCCGCCTGCGCCTTTCCCCGCGCCCTTCTTTCCGCCCTTCTCCCAGGGGAGCTCTTCCCCCGCGGGGAGCGGGGGGCCGCCGCCGGAGATCACAGCCGCCATGGCGGCGGCCGCCTGCAGCCACGCGGGGGGAAGTGGGGGCTCGCGGCGCGAGCGGGGGGTTGGGCCTTAAGGTGATGGCGGCGGGAGGGGTGGGGGGAGCTGCAGCAGCCGGGGGAGGCGCAGGCGCAGTGGCAGCAGCGCCAGTCGCAGCGGCTGTAGCAGCAGTTGCAGCTGCCGCAGGAGCGTCAGGAGCGGCAGGGGCAGCGGCAGGCGCGCCAGGAACGGCGGCAGCGGCGGCAGCGGATGCATCCGGCGCGGCAGCAGCGGGGGAAGGAGCTCCAGTCGCCGCAGTGGCTAGCGGTTGCGCCTCTGCTGCTGCTGCAGCTGCCGTTGGTACCGCTGCTGGCGGCATACCGTTTGGTATTTCTCCGGCTACTCCACCCGCCGCTGCTGCTCCGGCGGGGAGCGGCGGAGGAGGGGGGCCGGGAGTGAGCAGCGGCGGCGCTCCCCCCGGGTAAAACCCTTGCTGCGCGGCAGCTGGAGCCGGGGGAGCGCCGTGGGGAACGGGAGGCGCAAAAGCCGGAGGAGGCGCAAAAGGCGAAGGGGGAGCGTGAGGCAGGGGGTGGGGAGGGGCGGACCCCGGAAGCGCGGGGTACTGCGGCGCATGGGGCGCTGCTGGGCCGTGCGCCATTCCCTGCGCGGGGTACGGCGGGTGGTGAGGCCCCGGCGGCATCCCCGGCCCCTGCGCGCGCATCTCTGCCGCGGGGGGCGGCGCGCCGTCCGCCACTGCCGTCACGTGCCACACGCCCGGCACCGCGCGCGCTGGCTGCTGCGGCGACTGTTGCTGCTGCGGCGGCGGATGCGGGGCATGCGGCGGCGGCTGCTGGAAATGCTGCGGGAAATGCGGCCCTTGCTGCTGATAAGGCGGCCCCTGCTGCTGATATGGAGGCTGATGCGGCTGGTTCGGCGGCGGATGCGGCTGGTTCGGCGGCGGATGCGGCTGGTTCGGCGGCTGATGCGGCTGGTGCGGCGGCTGATGCGGCTGATACTGCAGCGGATACTGCTGCTGCGCCGGCGGCGGCGACTGCGGCTGGTACTGCTGCTGGTGCTGATACTGCTGCGCGTGGTGCGGCGGCGGCGGTGGTTGGTGCGGCGGCCCCTGAAAGCCGCCCTGCGCATGTCCTGCCGCGTGACCTCCCCAAGGCGGCGCCCCCCCGGCTGGCGGAACTCCTTCGGGCGGGCCTGGCGGAAAGCCCCCGTGCGGGTTCTGCGGAGGGCCTCCCCCGTAGGGCGGAGGGGGTCTTGCATAAGCGCCATGGGCGGATTGCGGAGAAAAAGGAGAATGCGGCGGATGGGGGGGATGCGACGGACCGGGAAACCGCGGCCCAGGCGAGCCCATCCCACGTGGAAACGGCATGCCAGGTGGCACATGTCCAGGAGGTCCACGTGGCGCGAACCCGAGAGAGCCCGGTCCGGAAGGTCCACGTGGACCAGGACCAGGTGACATGTGGTCTGGAGGTCCACGTGGTCCAGGTCCGGGTGACGCCGTGCCGCACGCTCCAGGTGGTCCGTCAGGTGGTCCGTCAGGTGGGCCCCTCACAGGTGGACCCATGCCAGATGGGTCCATCCGGGGATAAGGTGTTCAGTCACTGAAAAAAAATGCACGGTGTCACCAAGGCTTCAATATAGAGAGAGGGTCGGCGAGCAATCCCGGAGGAGCGACAAATGCAGCTGAATGATCAGATCTAGGTTTAAGAAGAGATATAATATCTCGAAAAAAAGGGATAGAAGTGCCGAGTTAGTACGCGGTAAAATGTGGAGGAGCGGGAGTGGGAGCTAGAGAGCGAGACGAGGAGGAGATAGTGAACAAGGCGGAAGCGCGAAGGAGAACAGGCCGAACGCGGACCACGATTTCATGGATTGAACTGAAAGACTTTACACGTACACAAAGATTCTACCTGTCACCATATACTGTATGAATAGTCAAGCACAATGCTCCAGCTCCGACGCAATTTTCTGTTTGATCCACGATTCTTTGGAGAAAACGCGTTGTGGAACATGAGAGCTTCTACTGTACGAGGATGAATGGAGAGCATGGTTTGGAGGAGGCGAGGTGAGGTGAGGGAGGGAGGGGCAGCCGGCTGTAGCTGCGAACCACAGTCGTCGATCGTCGTTAGTCGCACGATGATCGTCTGCGACGCCGTCCATTTGTCTCGCTGGTTCCATCGCAACATTTCTGACCAATCACCACCACCTTATCCGCTGCATAACTGGTGACTCCATAACGAGAGCATCAGTGAAGCCATTAGGAGTAGTAAATTGTGCATTCAAGCACAACAAATGTATACTCATCAATCAAATGTTCTAAGTAGACCAAGCAAAGCTGTGAACTAAATTAGATTTACAGTTCTGCATAGAACCAGATCATGGCAGCAGCAGCAGCGGTGATACTGGTACAAGAATATCCCGCTAACTTTATCACCCGGTACCCCCTGAGCAACTACTAACAAATCAAGCCAGATTGAGGTCCCAGGTCTGGTGCCAAGACCAGCACTGTCACATGCTTGAAGGCATTCCTGCATGACCCATAAACGCTGCATACACGACAGATGCTACACTCCAAGAACTCCCCCTGACACCACTGTGTACGTAACTATGGCATGGCAAGCAAGGCATGGTGTGACAGGCATGGGACCAGCTGCATTAAAGGGCTTAGAGTCACCACCGCAGGTGCTCCTGTCACCTGACAACTGCCTGGTGCCCCATCTTAGCAGAGAGTGCATCGAAATACCCCACCATCTGGTCCCGCTTGTCCAACACCCTCTCCATCTCCCCCGCCGTCAGTGCGCCACCCATCTCCTCCAGCAGCTGCGCGCGATTCATTCTCCTCAGGCGAGTCAGGACAAAACCCGCCACCGTCTTCAGTCTGCCGCCCACTCCCGTGCCGCGCTTGGACCACATGGCGTGCAGGCCGGCGCCGAGCGAGGGGCCCATGGGGTGCGAGAGCACTACGGGCGAAAGCTTGCCGTCCCCGGACCAGTGCTGGGCGGCGAAGAAGCCGGAGGGGCGGCGGAGGGAGGAGCCCATGAGGGCATCGAGAATGCGGATGCTGCTGATCACCGTGTGCGCCTGGGTGGGCGCACGCAGGCGCTGGAAGGAGGGCGGAAGGGGAGGGTGGGGATGATTTATGAGCTGGGAAGGGGAAATTCATTGGCCATGGGGGAACACAGGGAAGTCACAGAAAGAAAATTTGCAAGCAAGGTATGGAAAAGGCAAAGCGGAATCGGGACTCACGGAGGGGTGTACGGAGGAGAGAGGGTGCAGGAGGTGCGGCAGCAGCGTCATGGTGCCCTGCGCGAACCGCCGCGACCCCAGCTGCACGCCCTGTCGCACCGCCACTGGCGGCACCACGTCCACCCCCAGCACGCGGGAGAGCTGCGCGGGGGGAAGGGGGAGGCGGAGAGGGAAAAGGGGAGGCAGATAAGGGGGAAGAAGAGGGGAAGGCGAAGATGGGGACAATGCAAGCGCATGCCTCTCGAAGAAGTAGCGACACGAGTAATGAATTCAAAATAATAAAATAAAATAATAAGAACGAAAGAAAGACACTAAAGCACGTCGGTCCAGCTTACCTTGTACGCGACCCACTCCGCAGGGGCGCGCTGGAATCGCAACCTCGCGTCGCCGCCAACCACGGGCCGGTACAGCGCCTGCACCGTCTTCTCGCCGTCAGCCCCGTCGCCGGCCGCGAGATTGACCACGTAGAGCGGACGGAACGGCGTGGATCCGAGCTCGCGGCCCGCCATCCTCCAGCTGACGATCCTGCCCGTCGATAGCAGGTCCACTAGCTCCCTCTCCTGCTCCCTCTGCTCCTGCGTCAGCACCTGATCCTCCGCCTTTTCCGGCGTAATTTGCGGTGTTAGTAGGGAGTCAGTCGGCTGCTGCGCTACGGAGGCGGCAGTTGGCGCGGGCACCAGTGACTGTTGGGCCGCGGATGAGACGGCTTCTGCTGCTTTGCGCTGCGCCTTTTGGTCCAACACGAGGCACGTACGCGCTATAGCGCGCGTCGCCATTGCCATAGTGCGCTCCGTGTACGCGGCACGGTCCACCAGGTCCGCCGCTCGGACAGACGCCGTTACAGTCACGACCGCCGTTTGCGTTTCCTCGTCGAACCGAATCGAGGCGCGAGTACACGTCAGCGCGTCCATCTGCTGCACGTCGAGCTGCTGCTCGCTTGCGGGAATTCCGGCGGCACTTCCGGAAGGAGAGAAACCCGAGAAAAGGGTGGAGAGGCTCTGGGCTGAAAAGGACGAGGGAGAGAGAGGGACTGAGGATGCATCCGGCGGCGAGGATGCGTCGATGTCAATCGGAACGTCTAGATCAACGGTTGGGATGCTCCCAAGGTCGAGTTTGATCTGCTGTGAAACGAAGACTTGCTGTTCCTCCTCCACCTTACCGCCATTCGCATCGACATCAAATTGTAATTCGTTTTCTCTATTGTCTGATACACTATCCGTATTCCCGGCAGCAACACCGGGAATACCCGCCGCATCTCCCGCTGTAGGTGGATAGACGGTTACCGACGTCTCAACTTCAGCTGCCCGCGTCTTTATCTTATAAAGAATGTGCTTAAGCTTCGAGAGCGTCGTTCGCGCCTGCGACTCGATGCGGTCGACGCCAGTTTCCGAGGCGCGCGGGCTCGACGGCTCGATGAGGCCCTCGTCGAGCGGCTCGGGCACGGAGATGGGAGCAACGGACGGCGGGGGGAGAGTGTCGGTTTCATCTGTGGGCACCTGGAGCGATCCCTGCCGTTCGATGGTCAGTGACGACTGCGGCGACGGTTTCTCGTCGCACACGCCCAGCGACCCTTGCCGTTGGAGCGCCTTAGGTGACTGCTCCGTCGCACCGCCGGTATTAGTGACCCCGGATTGGGCCGCAGCGCGTACGGTCAGGAGACGCGCTCCCTGGAATTTCCGGCGAGGAGAGGCGAGGAAGGGTCTGTGAGAGCGGGCGTGGGAGAGAGGCGCGATGCTTAAAGCTGTGTATGCGGAGAGAGCGGAGGATGAGGACAACGCGGAAAGGGAGGAGGCGGAGGAGATGCGGCGGAAAGGGGAGGCGGAAAGAGATGAGGCAGATGAGACGCGGCGGAACGAAGAGGCGGAGCAGCGCAGCGCGATAGTTGCCGCGCGGCGGCGCAATGGGAAGCCGACACGCGGAGAGGGACGCAATGAGCTGCCAGCCCGTGGAGAGACGAACGCGGTGGCTCCGAGAGTAGCGACTGTTGCGACAGGCAGAGCGCGCGACGCTGCCATGGCTGATGTCGGTTGAGCCAAGGCGCTTAGAGCCTGCACTGATTCTTGGGCTGCGCCACAGGGGGGAGATACGCCCAGTGTGGTAAAATGCAAGTGCGGGTTTCTAGACTCGCTGAGATTATTAGTCTAGATAGTAAAACAGCTAAGAAGACTGAGAGGGGAGTTGCTGTTGGAGCTAAATGTGGGTGGAGGGGGGACATGTGAGTGCAAATGCGCGTGCGAGAAGGTGAGGGAGGAGATGCGGCGTGGCGGAGGGGAGGAGACGAAGAGCAAGGGCGCAGCGCAGCATCCCAGAACAGCACGCGCGGGGGAAGTTGGAAATGCTGAGAGGCGGGGAGGGGGAATCCCGCGAACGATTGCCACTTGGAGGTCTGCTTGAAATCCAGACTCGAAGCAGGGCCGGAGAGGCACGCACGACACGAGCCAAGAATTGATCCGGTGGTGG